GAAGCATTTGTAGAGATTGGTCTTATTTCTTCCTTAAATATTTGGTACAATTCCCCAGTGAAGCTATCTGGGTCTTAAGTTTTGTTTGTGGAAAGGTTTTAACTACAAATTCAGTTTTAAAAATAGATATAGGGCTGTCAGATTATATATTCTTCTTGACGAAGCTGTGTCTTCTGTGTTTCTTACGTTTGGGGTTTGGTGAGTTCCTTGGATCTGTGAATTTATAACTTTCATCAAATTTGGAAACTTTCAGCCCTTATTTCTTCAAATATTTTTTTCTGTTCCCTCCTTTCTCCCCACTTCTTCAAGGACTCCAATTACTCACATATTAGGTTGCGTGAAGTTGTCCCACAGCTTACTGATGCTTTTTCCGTTTTTTAAATTCTTTTTTTCTCTGCTTTTCGTTTTGGATAGTTTCTACTGCTATGTCTTCAAGTTTACTAATATTTTATTCTGAAATGCCTCATCTGCTGTTAATTCCATCCAGTGTTGCTGCTGTTTAATATCAGACATTGCTTTCATCTCTAGAAGTTCAGTTGGGACTCCTTGATTCTACATCACCTTTTGAACACATGGAATACAGTTACAATAACTGTTTTCATGTCCTTGGTGCACTACTCTCGACCCCGTGTGGGGTTGGGCAGTAATCCTTTTCCCACCTTGGGTAGTTTCCTCCTGTGCATGTGTTAATCTGTCTCCAGCTGCATACTGGAGAGGGACCTTCCATAGGTCTCCAGGGGTCTCCACTCTCTGGTACTTTATCCGACCAACTCTAGGCACTTTGTTTGTCCTGGTTGTTCAGCTATTTCTGAAACTCAGGGAGTCCACTGGGCTCCATCCAGGCTCCCCCTTCCTGCTCCGAGGTCTGGAAATTTTCTCAGGGCAGTAAGGTGGCCTCTCATAGGACTCACCTCATTTGTCGCTGTCTCTCAGGAACTGCTGTCCTTTGTTGCCAGACGCCCAGTGTCTTAAAAACCGTTTCACATATTTTATGTGTCTGGTTTTTGGTTGTTTCAGGTAGGAAGCAGGAGGGTAAATCCAATCCCTATTACTTCACATTGGCCAGACTTGAAGTCAAAGCTAGTGAATTCTGAAAGCTGTTGAAAAACTGCCTTTCCTTTGTCGAGTTAGCCTCTGATATTTCTCCAAAGCTGCCAGGAAGAGTCTGTGGGGGAGATAAAATGAAATGTGGAGGGATGGGATGTTTACCAGCTGGCTTTAATACTACAGAATAGCCATGTCTTTACTAACACCGCCCTGGTCAGACACCCAGGAAAGGCCCAGACATTCCAGTGCCGGATGTGGGGTGAGCTTGGAGAGCCATGTGCGTGTGAGTCTGTGAACCTTCCTCTGGGCCAGTCTCTGAGTGGCAACTCTCTTGTCCAGAGGGCCTGACTCCTGACTTTGGGAGCCAGCAGCGAAACAGTGGCCAGTAAAAGAGATTTTCTTGTCATGAGAGGGAGATTTGGTTTTCTAAGCCTTCTTGTTTTTAAAACTTGACCCTTTTTAGAATGGACAGTGACTCCTTGGAGCAGATTGAGAGCATGTCATCCTGGGAATGAGGGGGGTGAGGAGTGGGGAGACCTGAGCCCAGTGGTCCAGCGCATTTTGGTTCAGGACCCTTGCTCAGAGACTAGGGGACTCTCTGATATCTAATGCTGGTCCCATCCTTCTCTGGACCCTGGCAACACTCATAGTGTGGGACGTGTATATACAGGGTGCTAAGGGTATATGGCCATGTATTATTCCCGAAACAATAATTTTAATTCTCTGATAATCGTCTTCCAAACATTAATTATAATAGTAATAATACTGAGGTTTCACAAAGCCCTCTTTTTTCTTCCAATAATACAATGTTTTGTGTTTGTGTGTGGTAAAATACACATAACAAAATGTATCATTGTAACCACTTTAAATTGTACACTTCAGTGACATTATGTACATTCACAGTGTTGTGCAACTATCACCACTATCTAGTCATACTTTTTTCATCACCGCAAATCAAAACCCAGTACCTGGGACTTCCCTGGTGGCCCAGTGGTTAAGACTCCATGCTCCCAATGCAGGGGGCCCAGGTTCGATCCCTGGTCAGGGAACTGGATCCCACATGCAGGCTGCAACTACAAGTTTGCATGCCACAACTAAGGAGCCCGCCTGCCGCAACTAAGACCCAGCAAGGGCTTCCCTGGTGGCGCAGTGGTTGAGAGTCCGCCTGCCGATGCAGGGGACACGGGTTCGTGACCCGGTCCGGGAAGATCCCACATGCCGCGGAACGGCTGGCCCCGTGAGCCATGGCTGCTGAGCCCGCGTGTCCGGAGCCTGTGCTCCGCAACGGGAGAGGCCACAACAGTGAGAGGCCCGCGTACCGCAAAAAAACAAAAGACAAAAAACAAAAAAAACTGCATGTGTGAGCAGTTGGGGCAAACTATGGGCAAAAAGCTACAAAAGACCAAAAAGACCCCTACTGCCACTATTGAAGAGCCCGGAGCAGAAGATGGGAGTCAGGAGCAAAAGCAGGGTACTCTGCATGCCCCCTGCACACAACGCCACCAGAAGGGTGGGTAAAACACCTATGCCACCCCTCCAGCCTGACCCCCAGACCCCTACCTTCACCCCATATAAGGAACAAGCTCACCCACACACACAGGGAGCGAGAGAGCAAGGGAACCTGTTGTGTGTTCTCCCTCCCCCCTGCTGCAGCAGGGGCCCCAATAAAGCCTTGCCTGAATTTCTTGTCTGGCCTCTAGTCAATTTCTATTGACTGGGGAAGGCTAAGAACCCTGGTCCATATCAGCTCCTCTCTGTGTAAACTCTTCCTATGTCTTCTCACTCTTCACCTCACCTTCCCCAAGGGCTGCAGCTCCCAGGCATGCTCATGACTCCCACCCTCTCTGCCTGGCCTCAGCTGTAGGCTACACCTGTATGGCCAGATGCCCATCAGTCTTCACATCTGGATGTTGCAATGGCCCCTTTAAGTACACAGGTCCTAAAATGAACTCATCATCAGCCTTTAGAAGCATCCTCTGAACAGGTGTCATCAGCCACCATCTACCCAGTCTCTCGGCACAGTGGGGACTCCCAGAGTCCCTCCTTCCTCCCAGCAGGCATCTAGCTTCTTCTTTTCTGTAGTCAATTTCTATTGACTGGGGAAGGCTAAGAACCCTGGTCCATATCAGCTCCTCTCTGTGTAAACTCTTCCTATGTCTTCTCACTCTTCACCTCACCTTCCCCAAGGGCTGCAGCTCCCAGGCATGCTCATGACTCCCACCCTCTCTGCCTGGCCTCAGCTGTAGGCTACACCTGTATGGCCAGATGCCCATCAGTCTTCACATCTGGATGTTGCAATGGCCCCTTTAAGTACACAGGTCCTAAAATGAACTCATCATCAGCCTTTAGAAGCATCCTCTGAACAGGTGTCATCAGCCACCATCTACCCAGTCTCTCGGCACAGTGGGGACTCCCAGAGTCCCTCCTTCCTCCCAGCAGGCATCTAGCTTCTGAAGAGTCCACCTCTGGAATATCCCTGCCCTTTCTGCCTTCCTCTCTCCTGCTGGATCCCAGCAGCCCCCTCCTGCCTCCTTTCAACCCACCTCCACCAGTCTTTTTCCAAACGTCTCCAAACGTCTAACCCCCACCCCAAACCCTTCAGTGGCCCCCATCACCTACGAAGTTAAGTTCCCACTCCTTAAGCGGAGTTGCAAGGTGATTCACAAATGTGGGGAAAGAAAGAATGTGTTTCTCTAGTTTTGACCACTTGGAGAATAAATGGCCCAATGCCCCATGGCACCCCATTGTGGGCTTTTCTTTCGGAGTCTGGACATGGTCAACCATTAGAAGGTCCCGTCGTCGTGATAAGGGCTAGCTTTCCAAAGCCACCCTGCTCCCTGCCCTCCAAAACACACAGACACAAATCCGATCTGAGATCGCCTGGCTAGCTTCTCTAAAGAGCCCTGGAGGGTTCGGGTAAATCCTGCTACCTTTAGGACCTGGAGGATCCGAGTACGGGGGTCACCCCGCCCCCCACCCCACCCCCCCCCCCACCCCCACCCCCAACGACCCGCGCTCCAGGAGGTCTCGCTGCCCTGGGCGTCGGATTCCTGCAGAGATCTCGGTGGACAGTCGGAGATGCGCGCCGAGCCTGGGAGCGCGGGGTGGGGAGGGGGGGCTCCCCCTCCTCTTGCGGGACTTATTTAGGATTCGGGGTGTGCACGTGATTCCCCAGCGAGGGCGGACTAAGGGCGCTCTCCAACAAGCAGGGCCGACCCCAAGTACCCCGAGAGCCCCTCTGGCAGGGTCCTTAGGACTGGGAGCCTGGAAGGAGCTGACCTGCCTGGTGGTGGCGCGCAGCCGCGGGCCCGAGTGAGTTCCCGGCGTGAGCGTCTCCCCAACCCAGACCCTGCAGTCCACCTCCTTTTCCTCCTCCTCGTCACGGCCTTTGGTCCTGGCGGGGGTGGCAGTGGGCGGGAGCCCAGAGGCGCAGGCCGGGCAGCCGGAACCGTCTCACGCCGAGCTGTCCGCAGCGTCCCCGGGGCGGGCGCGGGGACCGCGGGCTAAGGGCTGTCCTGAGAGGGCGAGGGCGGGGGCGGGAGCGCAGGCCAGGAAAGTGGGAGGGGACAGGTTGAGGGGTGGTCTCTGAGGAGGAGCCAGGCTGAACTGTATTGTTCGCCTCGGCCGCCCGGAGCGCGCGGAGCGGGCCGGGGAGCGTACGCGGGGCGCTCCGCTTTCCGTGTTCCCCCCGTCCCCGGCGCCCCGAGAAGAGGTCCGGGCTTTCCCGCGCGCCCCGGGACGCCTCTGCTCAGGTGGGGTGCGGGTCTTCCCTGGGGGCGCGGGCAAGGGAGGCGTTCCGCGCCGGTGGGGCTGCGACTGCTGCACCCGGGAACCGGGAGTCCCGAGGGGGCCGCCCCGAGCAGCGTAGCCCCGCCGCCTCCGCGGGCCGGGAGGCCGGGTGGGCGCACGGGAGCGAGCGTCTGCCGCTTCACCCGCGCCGCGTGCTTCCGCAGGAGCCGGGGGCCGGGGGCCCCGCGATGGCCGCGGAACGCAGCCACAGGGAGCCGCGGCGAGGATACCCGGGCGCCCCTCCCACGCGGGGCGCAGCCTCCGCCTAAGTCCGCCGCCCAACCGGCGGGATGGGGGGCGGAGGGTCTGCCCTGAGGGTCTGCGCGGACCACCGCGGGGGCATCAACTGGCTCAGCCTGAGCCCCGACGGGCAGCGCCTGCTGACGGGCAGCGAGGACGGCACGGCCCGACTCTGGAGCACCGCGGACGGCCAGTGCTGCGCCCTCCTGCAAGGTAGACCCACTTGGCCGCGTCCTCCGACCTCTCGCTCTGTCCTCCTCTCTGCCGCTCGCCTGCCTCAGACCTGGGCGCTTTTGTCCGCAGACCCCTTCCCCCAAGTCCAGCCCGCGCCCATCGCGCTGGGTGGGGTGGGAGTGCAGAGGGGGCTACGATACGGGCCAGTGAGCCGAGGGGCGAGGCTGCGAGGGCGCAGATCACCTGTCAACCGCTGGGTGAAATCCCTTCCATCACCGCAGTTTTAACAAACAAAAAGAAATCGCAGTCCGCCCCTTTCAGCTTCCCTCGTCTCTCACTGGCCTTGTGACCTTTGGCTGAACATTTCCTCTCTCGGGGCCTTTGTAGTCACAACCGTGGCTTGTTAATCGGCCTGGGCACTACGGAGTGCACTCCACATGGTGTGGTACTGTTTTCCCACCACCCGTGCAGGCAGAGAAGCTGAGGCACAGAGTTAAGTAGTTCACCAGCGGTTTACACAGCCCATAGGGGGGCAGAGTCGAAAACCCCCTCCCTCATTCGACCCCCCTGCCCTGCTCTCTCACTGCCTCATTTCACCCGCAATTTGGCATGTTTGGAAACTCCATGAAATAGCAGGAGGTACACATAGGCGTAAATATTGTTTTACGAAAGAGCCCTACCAGTCTACCCACACCGATTTATATTTGTGGCTTACTCAAGGGGAGGTGGATGTTTTTCTTACCTCGGGTCCCTGTCACATGCCTGCAGCACAGGACGGTGAGGTCCCTCTGTTGTCTGAGTGGCTCCTATAGCCGCCTGTGGAAGCACCAGGCTGCCTGCACTGTGTGCACAGTTATTTTTCACTGCTGGTTTTTCCACCATAATCAGCAAATCCTGGGTGGCCTGCCCCAGGCCTCCTGACTCATCTAGGCACAGGGAGTAAATTAGCTTCCGTATTGGTGGATCCTGAACCTGCTGGTTTTCTTTTGTTCATTTTATTTATTTATTTATTTATTTATTTATTTATTTATTTATTTATTTATTTATTTATTTATTTATTTATTTATTTATCTTTGGGCCATGAGGCTCGTGGGATCTTATTTCCCCCCGACTGAGGAGCGAACCTGTGCCCCCTGCAGTGGAAGCGCAGAGTCTTAACCACTGGACCGCTAGGGAAGACCCACCCTGTTTGTTTTATTTTTATTTTTTATTTATTTATTTTTTGGCTGCGTTGGGTCTTCACTGCTGTGCGCGGGCTTTCTCTAGTTGCGGCGAGCGGGGGCTACTCTTCGTTGCGGTGCGCGGGCTTCTCGTTAACAATGGCTTCTCTTGTTGCGGAGCACGGGCTTTAGGTGCGCAGGCTTCGGTAGTTGTGGCATGCGGGCTTCAGTAGTTGTGGCATGCGGGCTTCAGTAGTTGTGGCATGCGGGCTTCAGTAGTTGTGGCACGCGGGCTTAGTTGCTCCGCAGCATGTGGGATCTTCCCAGACCAGGGCTCGACCCCGTGTCCTCTACTTTGTCAGGCGGATCTTAACCACTGGACCACTAGGGAAGTCCCACCCTGTTGGTTTTACATCAAAGCTCAGTAGGGATGCATTTTGGACTGCCTGCTATTTGGGAGCTGGTGTAGATAATGGGGAGTTGGCCACCACGCACAGATAGTCACACACACTGCCAAGGCATAGATCTGTTAGAAAATTAAAATCCAGTGTGTTTTGCTTTCCAAACATGAGAAGAGTATCTGGAGGGCTTTCAGAGATGCAGGTTCCTAGGTCTGGGTTTCACTGAGCCTTTGGGGGTAGGACTCCAGAATTGGCATTTCTAACAAGCTGTGAGGTGACTCTGATGATCGGCTGGCCCGGGGAGCCCTGAGCTCGGGACCCCTTGTGGGAGCCCAGTTTGTAGGCCAGTTTCTGCCTCAGGAAGCTCCAGTCCTTTCCAGGGTGGTTCTGGCCTCGTGGGCACCTGGCTCCGTCCCCAGGGCCCACAGTCCTGCCCAGCCCTGCCATCCTTACCCGGCTCTGTGCCTGGCAAGTCCCCTTCACACCCACTTTAGTGACCCTCACGGTGGCTCGTCACAGCAGGACACCAGAACCTGCTTCCTAGCAAGGCCACGCTGGACCCTCTGTTGCCCTAGTTGGAGGCCTTCCCACTCCACGGGAAAACGCTATCAAACGGAAAAACTGCTGACAGGGTCGTTTCTTTTATAAGGGTTTGCACTTTAAGAATTGTCAAGGACAGAGGGGACAAAAGTAACCTTTGCTTATCCTGAAATTGCACTAATAGACTTGTGAGAGAGTCATTTTGGGTGTGTGATAATCCTTGTGTGGCCCCCATGGTAAGCAAGGACCTGCCAACTGCTCCTCTGTGGGATTTTTTTTTTTGGCTGCGTTGGGTCTTCGTTGCTGCGCGCGGGCTTTCTCTAGTTGTGGCGAGCAGGGGCTACTCTTGATTGCGGTGCACAGGCTTCTCATTGCGGTGGCTTCTCTTGTTGCAGAGCTCAGGCTCTAGGTGCGCAGGCTTCAGTAGCTGTGGCGCACGGGTTGAGTAGTTGTGGCGCACGGGCTTAGTTGCTCTGTGGCGTGTGGGATCTTCCCGGACCAGGGATCAAACTCGTGTCCCCTCCATTGGCAGGTGGATTCTTAACCACTGCGCCACCAGGGAAGTCCATAGGATTTTTTTTGTATGAGTATTAATAAAAATGTCTTGACATTTTAGTGCCCTGTATTTTATAAATACCCTTCTAAGTACATATTTCTTATGTTATTAACCCTTGCAACTGTGAGGTGGATAGAATTGACAGCAGTTTAGGGACTTCCCTGGCAGTCCAGTGGTTAGGACTCTGCACTTTCACTGCTGAGGGTCTGGGTTCAGTCCCTGGTTGGGGAACTAAGACAAGCTGCGTGGCACGGCTAAAAAAAAAAAAAAATTAAGAACAATTGACAGCAGTTTATTTATTTATTTTTAAAATTTTATTGAAGTGTAGTTGACTTACAATGTTGTGTTAATTTCTGCTGTGCAGCAAAGTGGCTCAGTTATACACATATATTTATATATATTCTTTCTTTTCCATTAGGGTTTGTCACAGAATATTGACTATAGTTCCCTGTGCTATACAGTAGGACCTTGTTGTTTATCCATTCTCTATATAATAGTTTGCCTCTGCTGATCCTAAACTCCCATTCCTTCCCTCCCCACCCCTGGCAACCACAAGTCTGTTCTCTATGTCTGTGAGTCTGTTTTTGTTTCGTAGATATGTTGATTTGTATTGTATTTGAGATTCCACCTATAAGTGATATCATATGGTATTTGTCTTTCTCTTTCTGACTTACTTCCCTTAGTATGGTAATCTCTAGGTCCATCCATGTTGCTGCAAATGGCATTATTTCATTCTTTTTGATGGCTGAGTAGTATTCCATTTTGTGTATATGTGTGTGTGTGTGTGTGTGTGTGTGTGTGTGTATACACCACATCTTCTTTATCCATTTATCTGTCGGTGGACATTCAGGTTGCTTCCATGTCTTGGCTATTGTGAATAGTGCTGCTATGATAACACCAGTTTATAGATGAGAACAGGAGATGCAGATACTTACCAACATGCAGCATATTCTAAGTGTCTCCTAGACACTCACATCGTGAGGCAGGTGCTGTTGTCAGCACGCCCCATCCAACCTCATCCATAGTGAGGTTGCAGGGCTTGTCCAGGGTCTTGCGGCTGGTCGGCGGCAGAGAGGCTTCTCGCCCACTGTGTGGCCCCTGCTCTAAGCAGGACAGAGTTGCAGGGAAGCTGTGCTCCCCCGGGGCCACACGCTTGATCAGTGGCAGACCCTGCAGGTCTCCTGACTCCAAATCCAGGCTCTTTCCACTGCCATCGTAGACACTGCCACCTCAGGGTGAGTGCCAGCTCCTTGCATAGCTTGGGGCCCACAGAAGGCTTCAAAGGACAGCCTGTTGGTGGGTCAGGCCTGGATTGCTCGGGCAGAGCGGCCTGGGTTGGCAGCTCCTGCCATGCGTTTTCCTTCTGCAGACGAGCTTACGGTGCAGAAGCAGCTGGGGGCCAGAGGGTCTTCCCAGATCTTCCCGGACCAAGGCTCGAACCCATGTTCCCTGCATTGGCAGGTGGATTCTTGAACACTGCACCGCCAGGGAAGCCCTATTTATTTATTTATTTTGGCTGCGCCAAGTCTTAGTTGCGGCACACGGGATCTTCATTGCTGCACGTGGGATCCTCAGTTGCAGCATGAGGGCTTCTTAGTTGCGGCATGCATGTGGGATCTAGTTCCCCAAGCAGGGATCGAACCCGGGTCCCCCACACTGGGAGCGTGGAGTCTTACCCACTGGACCACCAGGGAAGTCCCGTGCCTCAGTTTCTTTATTTGTGAATTGGGGGTGATAACAAGAGGAACCTAATCTCATAAGGTCATGGTGGGCATCAAGCCAGTTAATAAAGAGTTCCTAGCTCATTGTATTCGCTGTCTTATCCTTCATGCCCGAAGTGAGTCACAGCACCCCTTGGCACCCCATGGCACCCCGTGCCATGCCAGCTCCAAAGCTCTTGCTCATTTGCCCCCCACAACTCCTTATCATCCCGTTTTGTAGATGAGGAAACTGAGGCTTGCCAGCCCTCTGCACTCCTCCCTCTGGGTCCAGAGCCCTTTCCCCCTCACCTGCCTGTTGGCTTGACTGCGCTGGGTGCCTGTGTCGGATTCAAAGGTGCAAGAGTCTCAGATCCCGCCCCAGGGAATTTGCAGATTGGATTGAGAGAATGATTGCTTAACTAAGGGGCTGTGTGCACTTCAGAAGAGCAGGAACTTGGTGGGCTGGGGTAGTCAGGGTTCACCTCTTGGCCCAGGAGGACCTGGAACTGAGACAATTTTTAATTGTTACAAAAAACACACAGCATAATATTCACCATCTTAGCCATTTTTAATATACATTTGAGAGACATTAAACGTTCAAAATGTTGTGCAGCCATCCCCACCATCACCTCCAGGATTTTTTCCTCTTGTAAAACTGAAACCATCCCCTCTGAACAATAAC